AGTTAATACATTGCTAAACACAAATACACACACCAGTCAAGCCATAAGATTAAATGTTAAACAAGGGAACATTTTACTAATAGGAGATCTAAACTGTATAATGGATCCATCAATTGATAGATGATCCAACTGAGTAAATAATAATAGAAAATATAAGAAATAATGCAAGAAGATTGAGAGAATTGGTTGAAAGATATGCTTTGTTGGATGTATGGAGAATAGTTAACACTAATGTAAAAGATTATACTTGTTCTTCTAAATCATTTTTGACCTACTCTAGAATTGATTAAATACTTTCTAGTATTGGTCTAACCAGAAAAGTAAAAAAATAAATAAATTATTTTGATTCCCTGGTCAGATCATACTGCTCTCTTATTACAAGTTAAAGGACCACTATAGGCACCCAGACCACTTCAGCTTAATGGTGGTCTGGGTGCCAGGTCCTTCTAGGGTTAACCCTTTTTTTTATATAAACATAGCAGTTTCAGAGAAACTGCTATGTCTATAAATGGGTTAATCCAGCCTCTAGTGACTGTCTCATTGACAGCCGCTAGAGGGCTTCCGCATTGTGATTTTCAAAGTGAGAAGACGCCAGCATCCATAGGAAAGCATTGAGAATGCTTTTCTATGGACTGGCTGAATGCGCGCGCAGCTCCTGCCGCGCATGCGCATTCAGCCGAAGGGGTGGAGAGGAGGCGGAGGAGAGCTCCCCGCCCAGTGCTGGAGAAAGAGGTAAGTTTAACCCCTTCCACCCCCTAGAGCCCGGCGGGAGGGGGACCCTCAGGGTGGGGGCACCCTCAGGGTACTATAGTGCCAGGAAAACGAGTATATTTTTGTGGCACTATAGTGGTCCTTTAACAATGAATTTAATAAGAAACAAATCTCTTGGAGGCTAAATGACTGGGACATAGCAATACCAGGGTACTCTTTATATAGAAAAGACAGGGAAGGCAAGAAAGGGAGAGGGGTGGCCCTGTATGTGAAAGATAGCATAAAATCTAGCCTAATAAAAGTTAGTGAGGTAAACATAGAGTCCGTTTGCGTTATGTTAGAATTTGTTTATCACACAGTAACTTGTGTAGGTGTGATTTATAGGCCCACAGGACAAATAGAAGAGTTAGATAATCTACCAGTTGAGGAAATAGCTAAAATGACAATGAAGGGGGAAGTTATCATCATGGGTGACTTTAATCTTCCTGATGTGAATTGGAAAACAAAAACAGCTGCTTGTGCCAGGAGCACACATATTCTAAACTCCCTACTGAGATTCTCTAAAACAAGTCGTTGAGGAGCCAACTCGTAAAGAGGCCATACTAGATTTAGTGTTAACAAATGGAGATTTGGTATCAGATATTACTGCAGGTGAAAGTTTAGGATCCAGTGATCATCAGTCAGTGTGGTTCAATATAAGAACAGTGACTGAGTCACACCACACAAAAACAAAAGTTTTAGACTTTAAAAAACACAGACTTTTCTAAAATTAGAAAATGTGTAAAGGAGTCATTATCAGAATGGAGCAATTTAAATGGAGTCCAAGAGAAATGGGATTATTTAAAAGTTGCACTGCTGAAGGTAACAGAAAATTGCATTAGGCTTGTCAGTAAAAGTAAAAAATTCAAGAAACCACCGTGGTACGCCGCAGATGTGGCCAAAATAGTAAAAAACAAAAAGTTAGCATTTAGTAATTATAAAAAACCCAGATTGAGGAAGGCAGAGTGATCTATAAGATCAGGCAGAAAGAGAAAATAGCACAGTCAGTAAAAAGAAAATGGAACAAAACATTTTTTAGATACACAAATGAGAAAAGGAAAGTAAAACAAGGATTAGTTAAACTAAAAACAAAAGAAGGAAGGTATGTAGAAGAGGATAAAGGTCTAACTGACTATCTCAATTAATATTTTTGTTCAGTATTTACAGATGACAATGAAGGAAAGGGACCTCAGTTAGAAAAAAGGACAAATGAGTCATTTATTACATGTGAGTTTACAGAGGAAGAGGTTCTATTTCAACTGTTAAAAGTAAAGACAAATAAGTCAATGGGACCTGATAGAATACACCCAAAGTTATTAAAAGAGCTTAGTCATGTACTAGCAAAACCATTAACAGATTTATTTAACCAATCATTGTTAACAGGAGTAGTCCCAGAAGATTGGAAGTTAGCAAATGTTGTGCCCATTCACAAGAAAGGTAATAGGGAGGAGTCGGGCAACTATAGGCCAGTAAGCCTTACTTCACTACTGGGGAAAGTAATGGAAACCATGTTAAAGGATAGGATTGTTGAACATCTAAAAACACATGGATTTCAAGATCAGAGACAACATGGGTTTACTTCAGGGAGATCATGCCTGTGAAGGATTTCCCACAACCCGTTCGGTTGTTTCCACTCCTTGCTGTTTTATTCACTTGGATCATTTTGTTATTTTTCATTGTTCGGTAAAATATTTGTTTTACCAAACGGAGACCACCCTGGGTACCCATTAGAACATACAGGGAGTGCAGAATTATTAGGCAAATGAGTATTTTGACCACATCATCCTCTTTATGCATGTTGTCTTACTCCAAGCTGTATAGGCTCAAAAGCCTACTACCAATTAAGCATATTAGGTGATGTGCATCTCTGTAATGAGAAGGGTGTGGTCTAATGACATCAACACCCTATATCAGGTGTGCATAATTATTAGGCAACTTCCTTTCCTTTGGCAAAATGGGTCAAAAGAAGGACTTGACAGGCTCAGAAAAGTCAAAAATAGTGAGATATCTTGCAGAGGGATGCAGCACTCTTAAAATTGCAAAGCTTCTGAAGCGTGATCATCGAACAATCAAGCGTTTCATTCAAAATAGTCAACAGGGTCGCAAGAAGCGTGTGGAAAAACCAAGGCGCAAAATAACTGCCCATGAACTGAGAAAAGTCAAGCGTGCAGCTGCCACGATGCCACTTGCCACCAGTTTGGCCATATTTCAGAGCTGCAACATCACTGGAGTGCCCAAAAGCACAAGGTGTGCAATACTCAGAGACATGGCCAAGGTAAGAAAGGCTGAAAGACGACCACCACTGAACAAGACACACAAGCTGAAACGTCAAGACTGGGCCAAGAAATATCTCAAGACTGATTTTTCTAAGGTTTTATGGACTGATGAAATGAGAGTGAGTCTTGATGGGCCAGATGGATGGGCCCGTGGCTGGATTGGTAAAGGGCAGAGAGCTCCAGTCCGACTCAGACGCCAGCAAGGTGGAGGTGGAGTACTGGTTTGGGCTGGTATCATCAAAGATGAGCTTGTGGGGCCTTTTCGGGTTGAGGATGGAGTCAAGCTCAACTCCCAGTCCTACTGCCAGTTCCTGGAAGACACCTTCTTCAAGCAGTGGTACAGGAAGAAGTCTGCATCCTTCAAGAAAAACATGATTTTCATGCAGGACAATGCTCCATCACACGCGTCCAAGTACTCCACAGCGTGGCTGGCAAGAAAGGGTATAAAAGAAGAAAATCTAATGACATGGCCTCCTTGTTCACCTGATCTGAACCCCATTGAGAACCTGTGGTCCATCATCAAATGTGAGATTTACAAGGAGGGAAAACAGTACACCTCTCTGAACAGTGTCTGGGAGGCTGTGGTTGCTGCTGCACGCAATGTTGATGGTGAACAGATCAAAACACTTGCAGAATCCATGGATGGCAGGCTTTTGAGTGTCCTTGCAAAGAAAGGTGGCTATATTGGTCACTGATTTGTTTTTGTTTTGTTTTTGAATGTCAGAAATGTATATTTGTGAATGTTGAGATGTTATATTGGTTTCACTGGTAATAATAAATAATTGAAATGGGTATATATTTGTTTTTTGTTAAGTTGCCTAATAATTATGCACAGTAATAGTCACCTGCACACACAGATATCCCCCTAACATAGCTATAACTAAAAACAAACTAAAAACTACTTCCAAAAATATTCAGCTTTGATATTAATGAGTTTTTTGGGTTCATTGAGAACATGGTTGTTGTTCAATAATAAAATTAATCCTCAAAAATACAACTTGCCTAATAATTCTGCACTCCCTGTAGAACCTTGTGTAACTACACGAAAACCGAAAGTTAATTGAATGCTCCTAGGTGGCCGCCATTTCGTGCATATGAACGCACGTGGTGAGAACAATGGACGGTGGCCATCTTAACTCCCGAACATGGCCAGCGGGACTTGGTCATCGAGTGCCTGGAACTGTTTTGGGCATGGCACTCGCACGAACACACGGTCTCTATGGAAGTCCCATACAAACTATTTCCACATACGGTAGAAGAACGGCGTTCGGGAGTTTCAAACAGACAAATGAGAGGAGCATTCTCCACAAATCATATTTATCCTATCAATGGCGGTTTTCATGCAAATCCATCTAAAAGGAGACCGGCTCTTGCTGCCAATTCTGTGGAATTCTTGGTCGGATACAACCTCATGTCGAGCCGGTCAAACTTCCACACGGTGCCGTTCAGAAAGTACAGAATGAATTTTTGTGAATTTTGAATATGTTACTCACATTATCCTCAGCTACCCAGGGATATATTGTTTTGTTATGCAGAAAGTATATTTCTAAAATTGTGAAAATTGTTAACTTTTCTGGCCAGCAGATAATTGAGTTTAGTATGTTTCTAAAACTCAATGATCTCGCTGGCTCAGAGGAGGAGTCTGGTGTTGTATAAATTGAATGTCCTTGCTTCCATTAAACCAGTCTTGTTCCAGCATTAAGCTTTGGCTCATGTGTGGATTATTATGCAATACCAGCGATATTTTACCCTGTGGATTATTGGCGATATAATTTTATGGGAATAAGGGAATATTAGATGGTGATACCTATTCAGACCGTCACAACTGATTGGCAGCGGCAGGATTTTCCCTTTTTTCCTGCACAAAGAATCCACTAATGCACTGGTGTACAGCGCAGCACACTAAAGGAGCTATCGGAAGTTCATGGAGGTATTGCCAGCAACAAAGCCAAGCGGGTCATAATTGCCAAACTCATGGAGCTAGACCAGGAGAACTTGGCTGCGGCAACACTGACAGTTCGGGAGACTGAAACACTGACCGTTCTGGAAAACGAATCACCGACCAACAGGGAGATCAGGGAACGGCTGTCATGGTTCGGGCCAAACCCATCTGCCGAAATCATCCAACAGGTGATTAATAGTGTAACGGAGCAGACGAACTAAAGGGAACATCGAAAGCTACAACTGAGGCTGGCTGAAACCCCGCGAACAACGGCAAATTCACCAAACGGAGGGAACAGCACAGTTGATTCGCGGAAGATTCCCTTTAGTGCTTTTAGAAGTTTTGACGAAAATGACAGTGAGATTGATGGCTATCTGGCAGACTTTGAGCGCCAGTGTGCCCTACACAGAGTGCCTGCAGAGGAATGGGTCACAATATATTCGGGGAAACTATCAGGCAAAGCAGCAGATGCCTTCAAGGCTGTACCAGAGCAGGAGATCCACAGCTATGCACGGGTCAAAGAGGCGATCCTAGCTCGGTACGCAATAACCCCAGAAGCGTACCGCAAAAAATTCAGAGACTCCTGCAAAGTGGACAAAGACTCATATGCAGAGTGGGCCTGTCGCTTACAGCTATCTGCTTCAAATTGGATCACCAGCTGCCAGGCAACCACAGTGGATGACATCCTGCCACTTATTCTATTGGAACAGTTCTACGACCACATCCAGGTGGATGTCAAAAGACCGTAGACCTCTCTCCTTACCTGAGGCTGCAAAGCTTGCAGATGAGTTCACCGATACCCACAAGGTGACATGTATTGCACCTCGGAGCCAACCCCCTCGGAGGGAGGCACCATCGGCAGTGACCAAGTACCAATACCCCACCAGACAAACCAGCCCCAACCCACGGTGTCCAGCGAACAACGAGCCCCGATGTTTCCGTTGCAATCATCTAGGACACTTACGCAACAACTGCCTACTAGAAGCCCCCAGGTCCAATTGGACTCCAACCCCAGGGCTGCAGCCCACTCTGTGGACTACCCCGTGTCATCTGCCTGGGATGCCAAGGAGCTAAGCCGGGAGGAATGTCTAGGCACGTTATATGAAGCCCACATGGTCCAGTCTACCATCACTGACAATCAGAAGCACCATTGTCAGTTAATGATGGTCAATGGGAAAACTGCCCAAGGCCTTAGGGATAGTGGCACTACCATCAGTTTAGTCCAAAGGCACTTAATTGATAACGCAGAACGTCCAGGGAAATCTATTGCTGTGCGAGTGGCAGGGGGGCTATTTACCAGATTCCCACTGCCCAGGTCCACCTAGACTGGGGTGCTGGAGCTGGCAACGTACATGTCGGAGTCATGAAAGAGTTGCCTGCAGAGGTCGTGTTGGGCATTGGACCACTAACCTCTGCTTTTGTACCCGCAACTTCTCACGAAGCCCAAGCCGGGACTACCAGAGCCCAAAGCCGTGCTGCCGAGAGCAATCCCCCTCCTACCGAGACTCAGGTAAGCCAACCTACCCCTACCCTGACAGTAGAGCCCCTTCTCTGGGATACCCCGGAGGATTTTAGGAGGGAAGTAGTGGGTGACCACTCCCTAAGGAAGTACAGGGAAAAGACTAGGGTAGTCCATGGGGGGCTGGAAAAGGAACAGTTAGTGTGGGAAAATGGCAGGTTGTACAGGCTCACGGAGACCTGGGTCAACACACCCGGGTCCCGGCAAAAACGTCAGTTGGTAATTCCGAGGAAGTACCGGCGGAAGTTATTGCGGATTGGCATGATGTCCCCTTAGCCGGGCATCTATGAATAAACCGTATGTTACTTCGGGTAACCCAGAACTTTTTCTGGCCTGGGGTATCCAACGACATCCGGACGTATTGCCAAACCTGCGAAATGTGCCAAAAGGTGGGTAAGAAGGGAGACAACCCTAAAGCTAAACTGGTCCCGATGCCCATAATAGAGGAACCCTTCACGAGGGTAGCAGTAGACCTTATAGGAACCCTGGCCCAGCCTAGCCAGTCCGGTAAGCGCTACATACTTACCGTAGTGGACTACGGTACCCGCTACCCAGAGGCAGTAGCCATCTCCAATATTCAGGCTGAGATGGTGGCTGATGCCCTGGTCAAGATTTTCTCTCTAGTGGGATTTCCCGAAAAGATTTTATCCGACCAGGGTATGCAGTTCACTGCCGAATTGAGGCAACAAACCCCTGACAAGCTCCCCATACCATCCTCAGGCCAATGGTCTCTGTGAGCACTTCAACGGAACTCTGAAGCAAATTCTGAAGACGTTCACGGGAGCCTACAGAGACTGGGAGGGATTCCTGCCAGTACCGGGAGGTGCCGGGGGGTGCCCGAGGAATCCACCAGTTTCTCACCCTTCAAGCTATTGTATGGGAGGCGTGTGAGGGGGCCCCAAGACCTCATTAAAGATCATTGGGGGGGTCAGACAGAAATCAAGGCGACCCCGATCATGCCCTAGGTGCTGGAGCTGAGGGACTGCATGGAGGAGTTGGCTCAGGCAGTACGGATAAACCTCCAGGCGGCTCAACAGCGCCAGAAAGTATGGTATGACCAGAGGGCCAGGTACCGGAGCTTTCAGATTGGGCAAAAGGTCATGGTACTAAGACCAGTCTGAACTAACAAGCTCCATGCTGCCTGGCAGGGCCCGTACAAGGTTATAGGACAGGTGTGAGATACCACCTACACGGTAGCAAGCTGCGAGAATGAGGATGTGAAACGGACCTTTCACATCAACATGCTCAAAGCATTTAACAAAAGGGCTGAGGAGGTGATGGCCATATGTGCCCCAGCAGGAGAGAACACAGAGGCCTTACCCTTACCAGACCTATTAGGGGGTGACGGGGAGACGAGGAACATATAGTTGGTCCAGTTGGGGGAACAGCTGGGGCCCCAAGAGAGGGTCTAAGCCAAACTACTGGAAGCCAAACAAACCACGTTCTCCCAAGAACCCGGATATACCCAGCTAGCCGTCCACAAGGTAGACACCCTAGGGCAGGCGCCCTTGAGACCACCTCCCTACCGCATTCCCGAGGCTGTTAGAGATGGGATGCGAAAGGAAATAGATGAGTTGCTACGGCTAGGAGTGATAGAACACGCCGAAAGCCCTTGGACCTCACCTGTAGTCTTGGTACCAAAGCGGGACGGTACGACCCGCTTCTGTGTCGACTACAGGCGGCTCAATGACAAGACAGTGACTGACACCTATCCCATGCCTCGGATGGATGAGCTGCTTGATCACATATCTAAGGGGAAATACCTGACCACAATAGACCTCTGCAAGGGATACTGGCAGATCCCTTTAGCAGAGGATGCGGTCCCCAAGTCAGCCTTCATCACCCCGTTCGGCTTATACCAATTCTGGGTTATGCCGTTAGGGATGAAGAACGCCCCTGCCACCTTCCAAAGGATGGTGGATCGCCTCCTAGACGGTCTCCAGGATTATGCGTGTGCATACCTGGACAACATCGCTATCTATAACGATACCTGGGAAGCTCACCTAGCACACGTAGGGTCAGTACTAGTTAGGATTAGGGAGGCCGGTTTGACCTTGAAGCCTGACACGTGTCACCTTGGTATGGCGGAGGTACAATATTTGGGCCACTGAGTCAGGTGTGGTAAACAACGGCCAGTGCCCGCTAAGATCGAGGCTGTTGCTAACTGGCCCACTCCCCGTACCAAGACACAAGTCATGGCCTTCTTAGGAAAACGCTTTGTACCAGACTATAGCGCCCTGGCCTTTGTACCAGACTATAGCGCCCTGGCCAAACCCCTGACCGACTTGACCAAAAAGAAGTTACCCCAACAGGTCCTGTGGTCCCCGGAGTGTGAGGTGTCTTTTCAAGCTCTGAAACAAGCTCTCGTTAATGCCCCTGTGTTAGCTGCCCCAGATCCTAACAAATGCTTTATCAGCGTTTGAACTGGGTTCAGTTCTGAGCCAGGTCGGAGAGGACGGAGGGGAGCATCCGGTAGACTATCTGAGCCGGAAACTTTTGCCTAGGGATGTCAGCTACGCGGCCATCGAGAAGGAGTACCTGGCCCTGGTCTGGGCCCTCAAGAAGCTGACTCCTTATCTGTATGGCTGTGCCTTCACCCTCATCACTGACCACAACCCCCTAGTCTGGCTCAACCGGGTCTCTGGGGATAATGTCCATTTGTGGCAGTGGAGTCTCGCCCTACAGCCCTACGATTTCACCATACACTACTGGCCAGGCAAACAAAACGGGAACGCAGGTGGGCTGTCACGCCAAATTGATTTGCTATCTGAGTAACCTCTGGAAGGCCCGCCAGCCCCTACTGGACCTGGAAAGGTCCAACCATGTCTGCCGGAGCAGGGAGTTAAAGGGGGGCCATTGTGAAGGATTTCCCACAACCCGTTTGGTTGTTTCCCTGCTGATTTATTCACTTGGATCATTTTGTTATTTTTCGTTGTTCGGTAAAATATTTGTTTTACTGAACGGAGACCACTCTGGGTACCAATTAGAACATAGAACCTTGTGTAACTACACACAAACCGAAAGTTAATTGACTGCTCCTAGGTGGCTGCCATTTGGTGCAAACGAACGCACGTGTTTAGAACAATGGACGGTGGCCATCTTAACTCCCGAACGCGGCCAGCGGGACTTGGTCATTGAGTGCCTGGAACTATTTTGGGCATGGCACTCGCACAAACACCTGGTCGCTATGGAAGTCCCATACAAACTATTTCCACATACGGTAGAAGAACGGCGTTCTGGAGTTTCATACAGACGAACGAGAGGAGCATTCTCCATGAATCATCTTTATTCTATCAATGGCAGTTTTCGTGCAAATCCATCTGAACAGAGACCGGCTCTTGCTGCCAATTCTGTGGAACTCTTGGTCGGATACAACCTCTTGGCTAGCCGGTCAAACTTCCACATGGTGCCGTTCGGATAGTACCGAACGGATTTTTGTGAAGCTACCCAGAGATATTGTTTTTATATATATTTGTTATGCAGAAAGTATAGTTGTAAAAATTGTGAAAATTGTTAACTTTTCTGGCCAGCAGATAATTGAGTTTAGTATGTTTCTAAAACTCAATTATCTCGCTGGCTCAGAGGAGGAGTCTGGTGTTGTATAAATTGAATGTCCTTGCTTCCATTAAACCAGTCTTGTTCCAGCATTAAGCTTTGGCTTATGTGTGG